GATGTTAGGAAGAAATTCTTTACAGAGAGGGTAATCAAGCATTGGAACAGCCTACCCAGAGAGGTGGTGGATTCACCATCCCTGGAGGTTTTTAAGCAGAGATTGGATGTGGCCCTTAGTGCCATGATATAGTAATTGGAGTTGGATCAGGGGTTGGACTTGATGATCTTGGAGGTCTTTTCCAACCCAATCTATTCTATGATTCTATGATTCTATGATCAAACCTCAAAACACGCTCAGGGGTTATACTCCTATTGCCGGACCTGAAATTTTGACAAGAGTTTGGGAATTTGAGAAAGGTCCATCAAAGCAATGAAACAAGCTGAATTAAGTTCCTGTTTTAGAGCCTTGCAAATATTTATAAGCTGCATCTTGCTTTACTCCATAATCACTTTAATTCTACTATTGACCTGGCACATCTTTTTCGAGAACAGGAGCTGAGCAATGAGGTAATAAAAATGGCCAGTCTTCACAAACGAAGAACTGGGGAAGGTCTTTACACCTTCCAGCCTGCGCATTGGATTTTTTAGGTGAGACACAGTGTGCGCGGAACTGAGCCCACCCTTTAATCCTGAGGTTCATCTGCCGGGGCCAAGTGAGCTTGGATGGTGGCAGCGAGGTCCTCAGGATGTAGATGGATTGCCTTACAGGGCTAGCGAGCTCCATCTGCCCGGGGAGTGGCCCCGACCGGGAATCGAACCCGGGTCTCTGAGGTGACAGCGCAGCGCCTTTACCTTCTAGACCACCAGGGGGGAGCAATGAGGTATTGCAAACTGAAATAACAGAGGGAAACAACAAAAGGCACAGTGGCTGCCTCAAAGTGCTTCCCTGCCATCTCCTGGGCTTCCTCGGTAACAACAGGGAAGAAAGGTCTCGGTTCAACTCCAGATATTAGCAGCTGTGTGCCATAACCAGAAAACAACATACATGCTCAGCACAGTACATGCATATTGCGGCTCTTAAAAGCAAGACAGTCACATTTGTGATTCAGGTCGGCATGGAAAGCTAAACAGTGAGTGAAAAGCTAATAAGGGAAATAGAGTGCCTTGGAAGGTGGTCTGCGTCAGGTCACAACAGCCGTGCACGCAAGTTGCCCACTCATGCAATGAAAGACACACGTGACCTTCATGACACTCCAATGTATCCTGGAGGCAGTCGTTACTCTTCAGTGAGAACTCGGAAAGATGAAACATCAGACTTCAACCTATGACCATCATGTAGAAATGTGATATTATTCCCAGCAGAGAAATCCAAACAGGCATAGAGCTTACTATTTGCCTGTGGAAGAACTGAACATGACCTTTGCAAATGAAGACATTTGGTTCTCTAAGTAGGTGTCTTTGACTTTACTGCCAACTGCCAGACAGGACATCTCTGCCGTCCCTTGTTCCTAAAAAAGAGGATGCAACGTTGCAAATATGACACAGTACTGCTTAATTCAGAACTTCCACGGTAAATCAAGTAAGGGCAGATACATTACAATTAATTTATCTTTTACTTAATCCCTGTCATATTTTTTCCTTCCTGACATTTCAGTTAGTACATTTTTCTGATTTTAAAAAATCAGATATTAGAACTTATCTGAAGACTTCTGCTGCCAGTTTTTGCTGGTGAATTGGTATGTTCATCCCTGTCTGCAGAAAGTCACATAACTAATGAAAACTATAAAAAGTGTAATCCTTCAAAGTGCAGAATTTCTAGTCATAAAAAAGGCTATAGTTGAAAATTGTGTTTCATTAAAAAAAGATTATTATTTAAAAAATACCTGGAGAAAGACAATCAGGTGAAACTAGCCCTAGCTTTGCAATACATAGTCAGATTGCCTGAACAAGGAAGGGCTTGATGTGCTGTTTAAATTGCAAACAACAGAATCATTGAACCAAAAACATAAAATAGCAGATTAATTTCCAAGATACACTTCAATGGCTTCAGAACTGATCTAATCAAATCAGCTTACCCGACTAGGTAATTGTTACATTTGCAGTAACACAGAGTTTTGACATTTACTTCTTGACTTAAAGGCAGAAAAAAAAAATGAGGTTTGTAAGTAAGTGTTGTCATAAGAGAAGTTCCTATCTGTATCATCAGTTTAAAAAAAAAAATAATTAGTCTTTGTTGCTGTCCCTTATCTAACCATTCTTTATTGATACACCCAAGATAGATAGATATATATGTGTGTGTGTATATATATATATATATATATATATAGGTCAAAAGTCATTCATGTCTTATTTAATATTAGAAAACCAGTCTTGATATACGAAGTGTGGTTATGAAATTGTGCATAAACAGTCAAGTGTACTAGAAATATTTTACATTGGTAAACTGAACATACTGACATTTTAATAAGCAAAGGACAAGATTTGTTCAAAAACTTTTATTTACTATAAAGACAAAACCACCAAAGTACGTACAAATTATACTATATAAAATTGGTTCAATGGGGTAAAAACTTTTAATTAAAATATCTCAATATATTTAAAATAACAAAGGATACAATGAAGCCAAATTTCTTAACCCAGAGATTTCCGTAAAATTTGCTTGCACAGTAAGGTGCTAATAGAAGTTAGCCCTTAAGCCCTGGAAGTCTTAGGAATCAGTCACATAGCAAATATAATTTCATTGTGAAAGTGAACTTTGGTAGAAGAAACACTATAGGACACCTGAGGTAGTAGAAACTGGAATAAACAGCAGTAGACGTTATTTACAATTTAAGTACCAAATAACATTAAGAACACAAAAAAATAATTACACAATACAATTTTCAGTCCAGCTTTGATCCAAAGAAAATAAGAATATTACATCACATCTGCATTTTTAAAAACACCACAATTACCAGTAAGCTGAGTGAAACACAAACTCAAACAAATGCATTTGGACACCTAAGAGGCAGTTTGAGTTTGAAATGTGGTAGGCATGGTGATCTACTAAGTAATACTGATTAGCTGAGGTTCATCAGTTTATACAGTTTACATTTCTGCCAGAAACAGTATTAATCTGACAACTGATCTTCCAGTACATGAATTGGCAAGAGTGCATCCTTTAAAGCTTGCACATAAGACTTGGAAATAATCTTATTAGAATGAAAAATTCTAAAGTGGTCAAAAAAAAAAAAAAAAGTCAAGTACAAAACAGAGCTACCAAACTTCACATTTCAGAATTATCTTTTTAACTCTTCAAAGTCTGCCAATTGTCCAAACAACGGAATGTAAAATTTCCAAAAGAAACACATTCACAACTAATGACACTGGTTTTTTTTATTAGTATGAGCACTATCATTCATGTAAACTTATCTTTAAGATGTTTTACTTCCAATTTGTACTATACATTTTTAAGGTACTATAGCTTATTTAATTTGTCCTGAGTTTTTGAAAATAACC